TGTACTGTACAGTGAATGGGTGTACCCAGCCTCTCTACAGTGTGATAGGCCCCAACTGGGTCGCGGGGGGGCAGTAGGCGGAGAAGTTCGTTCCAGTCTTCCCTCCCCCCGGCAATGCTTTCCAGCTCTTCCTGGGTGATCCTGAGGCGTTTCCAGGCCAGCCGTAAGATATAATCCCTCCAGTTGGTTCTGGGTCTGCCCTGGGGTCTCCTCCCAGGTGGACATGTTTGGAAGACCTCCAGAGGAAGCTTCCCTGGAGGCATCGGAATCAGGTGTCCGTATCACCTCAACCGGCTCCTTTAGACGCGATGGAGCAGCGGCTCTACTCCGAGCTCCCTCTGGATGTCCGAGCTCCTCACCTTATCTCTAAGACTGAGCCCAGCCACCCGGCGGAGGAAGCTCATTTCGGCCGCTTGTATCGGTCACCAATGGTCACGACCCAAAGCTCGTGACCATAGGTGAGGGTTGGAATGTAGATGGACTGGTAAATCGAGAGCTTTGCCTTGCGGCTCAGCTCTCTCTTCACCACGATGGTCCGGTACAGCGCCCACATTACTGCTGACACCACCCCAAGCCGCCTGTCCGACTCGCGCTCCATTTTCCCATCACTCGTGAACAAGATCCCGAGATACTTAAACTCTCTTGCTTGAAGAAGCAACTCCCACCCCCACCTGGAGGTGGGAGTCCACCGGCTTCCAGCAGAGGACCATGGCCTCGGACTTGGAGGTGCTGGTCTGCATCTCTGCCACTTCACACTCGGCTGCAAACTGCTCCAGTGCGTGCTGAAGGTCACGGTCTGATGAAACCAACAGTATCACGTCGTCTGCAAAAAGCAGAGACGTGATGCTGAGGTCCCCAAACCAGACACCCTCCTCACCCTGACTGCACCTTGAGATCCTGTCCATGAAAACCACAAACAGGATCGGGGACAAGGGACAGCCCTGGCCGAGTCCAACACCCACTGGGAACGTGTCTGACTTATTGCCGAGAATGCGGCTGCAGCTCGCACTTTGGCTGTACAGGGACCGTATGGCTTGTAGCAGCGAGCCTGGTAGCCTATACTCCCTCAGTACTCCCCACAGAGTCCCTCGGGGAACACGGTCATAGGCCTTCTCCAGATCCACAAAGCACATATGGACTGGCAGGTCGAATTCCCATGCCCCCCTCAGCAGCTCCTCAAGGGTAAAGAGCTGGTTCACTGTTACACGATCAGGATGGAAACCGCATTGCTCCTCCTGAATCCAAGGTTCAACAATCGGTTGGAGCCTCCTTTCCAGCACCTTAGAGTAAACTTTCCCAGGGAGGCTGAGAAGTGTGATACCCCGATAATTGGAACACACTCTCCGGTCCCCCTTCTTGAAAATGGGAACCACCACCCCGGTCTGCCACTCCACAGGCACTGTACCCGATGCTCACACGACATTGAAGAGACGTGTCAGCCATGACAGTCCGACAATGTCCAGAGCCTTCAGCATCTCAGGGCAAATCTCGTCCATACCTGACACTTTGCCACCGAGGAGCTTCTTAACTACCTCTTAACTAGCTCTGCCCCCTTAGCACAGGACGTGTTTACCGGGTTCAGGAGTTACTCGAAGTGCTCCTTCCACCACTCGACGAGATCCCGAGTCTGGGTCAGCAGTTCTCCTCCCTGACTGTACACAGCCTCGACGAATCCCTGCCTCCCCTTTCTGAGGCATCGGACGGTTTGCGAGAGCTTCTTCGAGACCGACTGGAAGTCCTTCTCCATAGCCTCCCTGAACTCCTCCCACACCTGAGTTTTAGCTTCCATGACGACCCCAGCTGCAGCCCTTTTGGCCAGCCGGTACCTGCCTGCTGCTTCAGAAGACCCCAAAGCCAACCAGGCCCACAAGGTCTCCTTCTTTAGCCTGACGGCTTTCCTCATTGCTGGCGTCCACCAGTTTGGGGGTTGCCACCACGACAGGCACCAGTGACCTTCTGATTGAAAACCCCACAGACAGGGGCCTCTGCCAGACGTTCCCAGCTCACCCTCACTACGCGTTTGGGTCTACCAGGTCTGTCCAGCAGCCTTCCCCGCCATCGGGTCCAACTCACCACCAGGTGGTGATCAGTTGACAGCTCTGCTCCTCTCTTCACCAGAGTGTCCAAAACATANAGGAGGGTTTGACTTCCACTGGGCTTCATCTTCTCTCAGGTTCAGGCTTTAGAAATGAAGCAGGAGTACCAGGATCTCATCCTGCAGGTGTGTGGTGCATCGTCTCTGCGAGTCGGTTCTAAGATCCAGACGCTGTGGAGTGGCTATGGGGAGATAATCCGGCTGCACCTGGAGGGCTGCGACCGGCCCTCTGTGGTCGTCAAACATGTCAAGTTCCCAGAGGAGGCCGAGCACCCCGGCGGCTGGAACACGGATCGCTCCCACACACGCAAAGTCAGGTCCTACCAGGTGGAGACACACTGGTACCAGAACTACTCCACCAACCAGAGGTGTCGGATCCCTGCCTCCCTGGCTGCCTGTTCCCATGGCGACGAGATGCTGATCGTGCTGGAGGATCTGGATGTGGCGGGTTATGATCAGAGAAGGTATGAGCACAGATGATGGAGCTCCTGAAAGTACAGTGTTTCCATGAAGTGACACAGCAGAGGATCCTGGTTCAGTATAATGTGGAAACAGAAGCCTGCGATGCACAGACACACGGAGGAGTTTCAGTGATTAGGAGGAGTTTTTAAAAAAATATTTCTTAGTTTTGAAATGGTGACATATATTTACTAAGAAGGGTTCTTTTGAGGGTGACAACAGCAAGCATGATCAGCCCATCTATAGTTAATAAGTAATAGTCTGTGGAACCTTATTTGACAGAAATGTGCATTTTTTTGCTATTTCTTGCCATGTGATTAAAAAAAAATGCTAATAAGCTTTAATACATAAAATCCAAATTAGCAGCACTGGTGAAAAATGAATTATTATTCTTTTCCCCTGTTCTTATCCTTTTGACGCCGGTGGTTTTCCTTTGGTGCGGCCTTTAGGGGAAACCACAACCAGATGATTTAACTTTTTTTTTTTTTTATTCTTTTATTTTTACAGAAACCACATTATCATAAACAAATCATTATTCAGGCAGATGATTGTATGAACCTGCAGGTCTTTAATGATTTTACTCAATCATTTAGGTGCTTTTAGGTTGTATAAATAATAAAGATGCTTCAAATACTGTTTTAAAGTTTTGCTTTACACGGCACAATTTGAAGACAGTTTGATTGAAAATAACAGCAAATGTAATTTCATGTGTACTTTCTTGATAACAGAAAGTGAACTCCTTCTCAGGTCTCTCGCTAGAAAAAGCCTTGAAACTCATTAAATGTGGATGTGAGTGCCTTTAAAACAGAACACAACTCGTACAGCAGGAGCTTTAGCGCACGGCTTTGTTTTCCAGGTCTCCAGGCATGATGAAGAGTGAAACATGATGAATGTGAGAATAAAGACACAACACGCTGGACAAACTGAATGCTCGTTTTTCTTTGTAGAACCAACGTGAAGGACAGAGAGATGAGGGCGTGCCTGAGCTGGCTTGCCCACTTCCATGCTCTCTTCCTGGATGTGACACCAGAGGGCCTGTGGCCTGTCGGCACATACTGGCACCTGGAGACCCGGCCTGACGAGCTGGAGGCCATGGAGGACGCCGAGCTCAAAGCAGCAGCCGAAGATATCGACAGGATCCTCAACGAGTGTCGCTTCAAGACCATCGTTCACGGAGACGCCAAATTAGCTAATTTCTGTTTCTCCCAGAGTGGGTCGGACGTGGCAGCTGTGGACTTTCAGTACGTCGGTGGAGGCTGTGGGATGAAAGATGTTGTGTACTTCCTGGGAAGCTGCATGGAGGAGAAGGAGTGTGAAAAGAGGGTACCAGCACTACTGGACTACTATTTCACAGAGCTGAAGCTGGCTGTGAAAACGGATGTGGACTTCGATGCCCTCGAGAAAGAGTGGCGGGAGATGTTTGCATTCGCATGGACAGATTTTCATCGCTTTCTGCTGGGATGGATGCCTGGACACTGGAAGATCAACCGATACAGCAAACAGCTGACCAAGGAGGTCTTGTGCAAACTGAATCAGTGATCATTAGTATCCACAATAAATTAATAAAAGCAAACAACAGATGATTGTTTTTGAACCTGGAAATATGAATATGAAAAAAAAAAGGCTCACAAATGTGTTCAGATCCCCTCCTCTCATGTGTACTGTGTAACCATGTCTACCATTTAATTTGAGGATAAATAAAAGATTTTGGAAAGAACTCAGGCTGTTTTACTTTATTCTGCTCAGAACTGAGATTTATATACATCTATAAAGAACTGTATTTAGTTTTAGTTTGCCATTATTCCTATTACAAAGCATCACAGAGGATTGGTTTTGTTCTTTTTTTGTTTTTCTCTTATTGTCTTCGTTACAATGAGTGAAGTTTATCATATTGTCCTGCCAGGCTTTGATGGTGATGGCAAATACAGCTTCACTCAATTGAATTAGGGATGAATTGCCCACTTGCATCAATCTAAGTCTCATTTTACAAATAATCCATGGTGATGGTGAAAATGTACAAAAAAAAAAAACAGAATACAGTCAGTATCTTCGACCCTATGTTTACATTACTTTGGATAATGCAGTGATAGTTTTACCCATAATAAAATAATAAAGTGCAGTAAAAATTCAGATCACAATCTGATGGGTCACAGAACAGGGGCAAAGCCAAGTGGTGGCCCAACAGGGGGGGCCACAGGCTAAAGTCTGGCTAACAACAATAAGCCTGTGAACTTTTTTGCAGACTTTTGGGGGATTTTGTAGCAATTAAAAGATTTTGTGTGTGCAGTCAAGATAAAAGTGCGGCCTGCTTTATTTAGTTAAAGCACATATAAGTTAGGGCTGCACGGTGGCTCGGTGGTTAGCACCCTCGCCTCGCAGCAAAAAGGTCGCCGGTTNTCTGAACTGCCGATGTGGAATTTAAATAGTTCCCCACAAACAAGAATACAAGACAAATTATCCTTTTTTTTTTTTCTTAAAAAAGAAAAAGATTACTGACACAAAACATCTAAAGGTTGCTGCTGATTGCAGTGTGCGTAGAAGAGACTTACCTGAAGTTTGATGCGTCTTGATCTGTTCAAGAATAATATTTGCCGCTGAGGATTCTTCTTCAAAGTTCAGCTTCGTTAATGTTTTCTCTGTTCACACTCTGCAGTTGTTTCTTCGCAGTGTCCAGGCTTTGACTCGGTGTCAGTATTTGTCTGTGGCAGTCACACGTTGGCTGGTTGACGTGGGTGTCATCAACCTTATAGCTAAGTGTTTGTCACATGTACCTGGCAGGTGTTTCTTCCTCAGTATGTAAAGCACATGAAAACCCTGAATTAAGACCAATGCAAAATATGTGAATCCATAAGAAGGGCAAAGTAAAGTCAAAGCTTTATTGCTGACATCCAGTGCTGCCACCCCTGCTGTTTAGTCCAACTGACTTACTTCATGCTTAACTCGGCAGGTAACAATAGATTAAATTACAACAGGACGACTTTCTGTACAATTAAATCAGGAGATGAAAGGGACAGGTGCATGCCAGCATTTGTACGTTTTTCTGTAGTTCGCACAGATCACCGCAATTAGCGTTAAAAATCATAAAAGTCGGCAATGCCACCATGGCAACGGCTGGAGACACCACACTGAGCTTCTAAACTGCTCTTCAGGAAACCTGTGAGTGGTGTCATGGCCATTTGTCCATCTTTATGTACTGTACAGTGAATGGGTGTACCCAGCCTCTCTACAGTGTGATAGGCCCCAACTGATTACACATCATCATCATCATCATCATCATGATCAATTTAACTGGAACTTTCTTTTGTGTAAATGCAGAAAATAACACATTACGGTTCATGTTGTGATGCTCAGCGGTTCTACAGCTCTGTGCTCTGACATTACCCCGACTCTGTATGTGCCATCAGTCGTCTGCTCTTGTACCTCTCTCCCTCTACTGCCACCATAAAACAAAGGCATACAAATGCCCCCAAAAACTGCTTCAGAAGAAATCAAGTTCACAGAATGGGAATGATACCTGTTTTTATTTAGAATGTATGTTGTAAACACGAAGAGACTGATGTGGTTTAATAATGGCCAAGCTATCAGCCCTGTTGGAGAACATGGCTCACCCTCTACAGGAGACTCTGACAGCACTGGGCAGCTCCTCCAGTGACCGGCTGCTTCACCGGCGCTGTGTGACAGAGAGATGCCACATATTACAAGCAGCCCTGCTTCCAGCACACCACACACCAAACGACTGTCATGTTTCTTTTGGTGCAATATCAACACATTTAAAGCTACTAGTTATGAATATTTTGTACACTTAAAGGTCAGCATGTCTTCCACATATGCAAGAATTTTTGCAATATTTCTACTTGCAGACAACTCTGTGCATATTTACAACAGTTATAACTTGTACTTCTACTCACGAAGGAATCTGCGCAAGACAGTTTGTATGTGCAATATTGTTATTTCCCAATTTCCCTGAGGCACCCTACCAAAGGGATCAATAATCTAATCTAATCTAATCTAATTTCCACACTCATGGGAATTTGGACAATCTTAACTCGTACTTTCGTATATTTTAAGTTATTTTTCTACTGATATTTCTTAAATGTTTGCACTATCCCCTCTGCTGCTGTAACAATGCAAATTTCCCAGCTGTGGCATTGATAAAAGCTTATTGTATCCTACTGTGCTGCATCATAAGGTAAGTCTAGATGAGTAAAAACAGCATTTGACTACTCTTAAGTAAATCTGATATTCAAGAAACATTCTCTGTTGAAAGACAGAAAGCCAATGAGCTTTACACACTCTTCCTTCTGACAGTGGCGATTACTATAAACTCAGTATTGTAAAGGTCTCCGGTTGAGTCTCCTAAATACTAGATTCGAGCTACGCTCCTATCTGTGGCTGCATTTAAACTTCGAACCTCTGACATCTTAAAATGACGATCCAGAGGGCAGATGCCTGAACAATTGGGAGGCTGAGGAGAAAGTCAGCCGACAGTCTTGACCGCGCTGAATGAAAGCTTGAGGGTGAATTTCCCATCAGTCAAGGTTTAAATCAAAAATACAAACATTCATTTGAGTTTATTTTACCACTGTGACAAAGAACACCCTTGTGGTTACATTTAATGGTAATCATTTCCTCGTGGAGACAAATTTACACATTTATGAGCAGGTTAGGACTTTTTTTCTGTGGTCTCCAGAAAACACTGCTCCATACTTATCACATTATACACTGGGAGAATCTCCCCAACACTGCAAAACTTGAGGGCAAATACCTCTAGAATCTTCTTCTTTTTTTTTTTTTTGCCAATAAAAACCATACATTAAAAAGATCAAAGCCTTTGGAGTATTTTCAGTCTTTAACAGGGTCTGTATGTGCATGTATTGTCAGAGCAGTCAGCTTTTAAATCTGAGTGTGTTTCACTAAATTACGGCTGTTTGCTAAAAGGGTCCCATTCATTTTTAACTTCATAAACATAATAGCATGAAATCTATTATTAAACATATCAGCTTTGCAATCAAACTAATACAAACGCATTAGAACCAACATCTGGCCCTGAGGACGTCCCTTCTGCTCACATGTGGCCCACTTCCCTTAACATACACTGAACAAAAATATGTCACATATAAGAGTTTTATGAACATTTGGGTTATGCACTACATAGAGAAACTCAAAATATATTTTCAGTAATTTCTGATCTTCATATCGGCATTGATGACAGCGTGGTATGGCCATTTGTAGCGGATTGACAGTCCTTTGAACATGAAAGGGGTCAGGTTGAGGAATTTGATTTTTCAGGTGTGTTGGAAGAGGGAAACATCTAAAACAGGATTGCCCACCCCTGTTTTATACAGTCTATGTGCCCCACCCATGCACTGAGTAAAAACACAACTCACTGAGTAATGCTCACTGACAGCAAGTTGGATTAAAAATTATACACAAATCAAGAGACATGTTACTTTTGTACAATAAAATGTCAGTAAATGCTCATTTACACTTGTTAACTCCACATGGCAACAATATTTGACATGGGGCGTTTATATTTCTGTTCAGTGTAGTTCTGAATGAACTTTCGAGACTTCCGTGGAACTTCTTATTTTCAGAAAGCAACGGGGGGCGATTGTTCCGCGTGGTTTACAGTTTTGGCAGTTAGAAATTATATTTGGTCAATAACTTTTTTTTTTCTTACTTAAACTGCTCTAAGCAACTTAATTATAATATTTACAACCATGTATTCGGGCTGCTGCAGTAAACCTCGTTGTATGTTTTGCGACGGTGGCCCAAGACGCCCCTACTAGGAGTCCCCAGTGGTACATTCCAAATGACAGGTCGACCTGAGCTCGCCTTCATGCCAGACCATCAGGAGACTGTCAGAACCACGAAAGGCGTAGTTTTAATCAACAGCTCGTTGTTTTAACAGCGTTTTATTGAAAATTGGTATTCGCCAACATGTCTGCTCTCAAGAAGGGAGACTTGTCTTCAAGCGAAAAGGAGTTGTTTGAGGTTATTACTGCAGGTAAGCCTCTTCGGCTAACGCTAATCCCTCGAAAAACCATGGAGCCGTTAGCTCGTGTTAGCTTGTTCAAGTAAAGATAGAAATAATACAGAAGAATGACAGCTTACCACTTCTGCCTTTCGGTACTTGCCTTGTTAAATAGTGACACTCAGTTAAAGGGTTGGTTTTCCGGCAAAGCGTGGTCGTAGCTACCGTTAGCTAAGGGCTAATATTGTTTTCCTAAGATAGCTTACCGTCTTAAACATTCCTCCTTAAAAGATCTCAACTCACAGAATGACACGAGTGTTTAACCAAATGTGTTAATCAGCGTTTTCACTGTAGATTAAAAGGAGTGTGTAATGTGTAACCGTTGCATTATAGCACATGCCTTCATTGGTAAATCTGTGAAATGTAGAAGCTAGATTACTCTGCAGAGCTGCATCCTGCAAACTGCTTGGTGCTGTATTTACATTGCAGTAATACTGAATTTTGTCCTTTTAGGTAATGTCCAAGAGGCCTCGAGGCTGCTGGGCTGTAAGGATGTCCGAGTCAATTGTCTGGATGAGGTAACAGAGCATCTGTAACAGGAATATGCTATCAAAGCAGCTTGACGTTTTTGCAGATAGCCTGCATTTCCCCTAAGTCACATGCCAGGATGCTCTTTTCACTGGTTCTCTGGCAGTCTTTTATGTTCCATTTAAGTTTATTTATTTGCATGTGTAACAAAACATCCATCCATCATCTATACATTAATCCTCACTAGGGTCATGGGGGGCTGGAGTCTATCCCAGCTGACTCAGGGTGAAGGCAGGTTCACCTGGACAGGTAACCAGTCTATCACAGGGCTACGCTTAGAGACAGACAACCAAGCACACTCACATTCACACCTACGGACAATTTACAATCACCAATTAACCTCAACATGTTTCTGGACTGTGGGAGGAAGCCGGAGAACCCGCCCGGAAAGATCCCTGTAACGAACATGAATTAAATTTTTAAAAATGATTTTAATGGTGAGGAGAAAAAAAAGGCGTTGTGCATCTTGTGCAGGGTGGCTGGGCGCTCCCTTAGAGATGTGTCCCCAGTTTCAATTTTTAATATCAGAATCTATTCTTTATTTGAGACTTATGCACTGAATTTTCATTTTTAAGCACACATGTTGGGCCTGACATTTAAACTTTAGTTCAAGGACTCTTTGTTGCTGCTTCTGTCTCTCTTGACCTCCTGGTTCATTGTAATGCAACAGATCAGGATTTTCTCCTGATGGGTTTCATGAAGTTTAACCTTGTGAAATGTGAAAATGCTGACAAACTGGCTTGTCCCACGTTGTATGTGTGGATGCATTTAAGGGCAGCAGTTTATAAAAGAGAAGACTTGACAAGCTCTTCTTGCAAAGCTCTTCCGTTGTTCAGGGACATGTGTGTGGGACAAGAGGCATGATTCACCACACTGAAGGGCTTTTGAGGGGGTCCTTCTTCCTGTCACTCTTTCCTGTTCACCTGTCAGAATCAGATGTTTGACGTAGGTGTTGTGTTAAGTTTAAGTAATGCATTGTGTGAAGTGTTTACTTCAGGTAAACATGCTGCCCATACAAAGTGGGAGATAGCTTCACATCAGCTGTTAAAAAAAAAAGGCGAGAGTATGATGTTAAATTTTGTGGAAACGGTCACAGCAGTGCACAAAATATATGTACAGTTTGCTCTGGACTTACTATGTACAACTGTGTAGCAAGACATACACAGGCGTGAATATTAGAGTTCAACAGTTAGTAGACAAACGAACAAAAGAGTTCTGTAGTGGTTCTATCTTGCCCTTGGGGTGCAGCACCATCAATCACATGCAAGCAGTTCAGATTCTGGATAGAGCACTGGAAATGGGTCCAGAATTATTTTTCCTGCCAGTTTGAGAGCAGTCTTGTTGAACATGGGCTGAGACTGGACAGGTCTCGGTCCGTGTCCGTGAAGACCTGAGACTTCAGGGTAACTGTTAGATCATCAAACCAAGCAGATATGCCATACAGGAAAATGCATCCAATAAAGGCGTGATACAATATCAGCATTATCCTCTGGGCCATTCCAAAGAGCGTGGGTTTAAGGAGGACGTTTTTGCCGTAGGTTATTGCATCTTACAAAGCTGCTATTATCAACAAACAGGCTCATCACCAGTCACAGTTTATGTGTGGTTGCCCACTGATTTAGTAACAAAAACCATTTCCTCTCTTTTCTATTGTTTACACCTTGTAAACAAAGTCAGCAATTTCTGTCGTATAGTGTTGGATGTTCTGATAGCGATGCAGAAGGCCAGGAGTGGTAGTAAAGTCTGAATATTTCTGGAATGATGACACCAGTATTCACTAGTGTACGGTGTAAGTAGCAGTTTTAAATCTACACAACCCTTAGGAACGCGGTTGTTAATTGACCTGGACCCACATTAAGCCGAATCTACTGAGGCCTGCTGGTCAGAAATGATACTCTGAGTTGTTCTGCTGCTGTATTTTGAATGTCTCACTCATTTTATAAAAGCGACCTGTCCAGGGTGTCCCCTGCCTTCACCCTAAGTCAGCTGGGATAGGCTCCAGCCCCCCGCGACCGTGGTGAGGATTAAGTGGTGTATAGATAATGGATGGATTTTATAAAAGCACAAATCTTGGGACGTTGCTCGAGATCACAGAGTGGGGGCTACGGATAATCGGACCAAAAGCTGTGCATCCTGAATTCATATATCTTATCAGGAGATGCTTAAAAAGTAATGATGCTGATCAGTAAAAATGCTTAATATTGGATCTGATAATTAAGCATTCTGTCCCTAGTAAACAACAAAAGAAATATACCAGCACAATGTTTAGTTTAGCTTTTTAATTTGTACTGACAGTGTTCCGTACCTGTGCACAAGTGTGTGTTGTTTGTGGTTTTAATAAATACATTTGTGATTAAATTCTCCTGATGTTTTTTGTAGTGAGCGGTTTTTGCTTGTTGCTCCAGCAAAATATAAATCGCGCAGTACGTATCAGCCTTGTTGTGTCGTCCACAGTATGGGATGACTCCTCTCATGCACGCCGCTTACAAAGGAAAAGCAGACATGTGCAAGCTGCTGCTGCAACACGGAGCAGATGTGAATTGTAATGAACACGAGCACGGATACACGGCGCTGATGTTTGCTGGCCTGTCAGGTGTGTTATTAATGTCATATATTAAACTTTTAATATGTTTGTGTTCATCACCACAGCAGCGCGATTGATAATATCAAAATATCTGGTGTTTTCAGAGCAGTTGTGACTCTTGTCCCTCTGTGCCTGCAGGGAAGACCGATATCACGTGGATGATGTTGGACGCAGGGGCGGAAACAGACGTGGTCAACTCTGTTGGAAGGACGGCGGCGCAGATGGCAGCATTTGTTGGTATGTTTGGACAAAACGTGTCCTTGGTCATGAAGGAGTTCTGTGTCTTGCTTGTCACCATACAAAAACAAGGGATGCCTTTATCAGTCAAAGAAACATTTTTTCCTGTATTTTGTCAGCAAATGTAGTCATCGAGTAGATCAGGGGTCTCAAACTCAGCTTTTCCGGGGGTCGCTGGAGGTAGAGTCTGGGTGAGGCTGGGCCGCATCAAGTATTCCACAAAAAAGGGTTTCAAGTATTCAAAAAAAAATAAAAAATACAACTGATCCAATCTTCTCAATCTTTATTAATAACAATTCATACCATGAACGGTTCTTCAGAACATGGGCTCCTCTTACCAGAGAGCTGGCAGCGCTTCCTCTGACACAGCTGAGCCACATTTGGCTTGAGGGAGGAAACAACTGAGACCCTCAGTTTGGCCTGAAGATGCTCATCAGTAAGTTTGGACCTGAACTTTGACTTATTAAAGTTCATGGCGGTGAAGAGCTTTTCACACAGACAGAAAATAAGCAAACAAAACATGCATTTGCACTGGGTGACAGGATATATGTTCCCTCCACTCAGTGACTCTCCTGAATCACGTTTCAAGTGACTACCGTTGCTAATTCATGTTCTGGTCACGAGCCTGAGCTATGGTAGCCCACAAGTGATAAAAATATACAAAACGCCCAGAGCAACGACTCACGCTGTGAGAAAAATGCACTAAAGTTAGACTTTGATGTCAATCAGGGGGCCACAAAATATTGGCCTCAATTGGCCCACGGGCCATGAGTTTGAGACCCCTGGAGTAGATGCTTTCACATCTCTAGTGGTAGTAAAACTACACTTCGCACTTACCCAGTACACTGAGATATCAGGATACATGTCAGTCATAGGATCCTTAAGGAGCCGTTAACACCTGAGTTTCGTTAATGGCTCCTTAAGGACATCAGTTTCTGGAACGCCCAACCAGTCAGTCAGAACTGATGAAGCCTCTTGGATGAGAGGTGAAACGTCTTCAGGGAACTCAAGCAAGTCCAGTTGCTACGATTAATCTACCAGAATAACCACGACCTGGATGACAGAATCTTCACAGACACGTCACTAGTGCTCCTTATGGGATGTGAACATTTGATGATGAACTAAAACGTTGTTCCCTCAGACCGCCATACAAAGTGCGGAGATTCCAGCATTACCTTTAGATTGACTTCTGTCAGTCTCGTCGTTTGCGATTACAGTAACGAGACGAATGCAGCGCTACTTCTATTAACGTACACATAAAAATAATCCACTTTTTCCTCCTCAGGGCAACACGACTGTGTCACAGTGATCAACAACTTCTTCTCCCGTGCCAGACTCGACTACTACACCAAGCCTCAGGGTTTGGAGAAAGAACCCAAGCTGCCCCCCAAACTGGCTGGACCCCTGCACAAGGTCATCATGAGCACCAACCTGAACCCTGTGAAGGTAGGGCATCGCCTGGTGGGGAGTGATGGTTACCAAGAGGATGTAGTGTTGTTCAAATGTGTCCAAGTGCAGCTTGTGGACTTGCACCACCCTCATCCAAATGTCTGCTTATACATTCCTTTTTCCACCTCTTTCTTCCCGGTGATAAACAGACTTTTGTTATATGCACCTGCTGCTGTGTCTTCATTCAAACACAACAGTCGTTTTCCCTGATTTACGTCCTTTCATGAAACTAGGGGGCAAGTAATCACAGTACTAACCAGCTGAACCAGTGGTTAGCTTGAAAACTAGCACGCTGTCGCTTCAGTGAGTCATTTGTGCCAAAAATAGACAACATGAGTGATTGTCATGACCAACTGTTTGCTGTTGCCGTCTTGTTTCGTCTCCCTGTTATTTTAATTGTGCAGCAAAGTAAAGGTGGCTAATATTAGATGGCGATTCTTCTTTTAATGTATACAGGAAAAAAATAGGGTGACGGCATGTAAACTTAGTTACAAGTCTTGTATCAAGACTCGTAACTTGTTTATCCAGGAGAAGAGAAGAATAAAAAAATGTAGTTATTTTTGCCTTGCAAGGTTGAAGCAAAGAAATCAGAGCCTTGAGTATAATATTTTCATTCACGCTTTAAAACATTGCTTTGTAAATGTTAAATGGTTGCAACCCAAGCTTCAGGCAACATTGGTGGAAAAGCAACAGCATTGGTTAAAAGAAAAACTACATTTGTTTTTGTTACAAACAGAACTTAATGGTTATTTCCTGTGGTTTCCAGATGGTGATGCTGGTGAAGGAGAACCCCTTACTGGCGGAGGTTGAAGCTCTGGACAAATGCCGGCGGGTGATGGAGCTTATCTGTGAGAAGTGCATCAAGCAGCAGGACATGAACGAGGTGTTGGCCATGAAGATGCACTACATCAGCTGCGTGCTGGGAAAGTGTGCCTCCTTCCTCAAGGATCGGGAGGACAAGCTAGAAGGCCTCATTAAGAGGTGAGGCCGTGTGTGACATTGGAGACTATTTTGGTACAATCAGGTCAGGTTGGGGAGCGTACGCAAGAGTACAGTCATAACTCAGTAATCCGACCCTTAACAATCCTAAACCTGCTATCCGACAGGTTTTTAGGAAAAACTAACAGAACCCATAAAAAACAGCCTTAACATGGCGACAGCCTTGGATTGTGACTCCGACATGACATTTATTGTCATCAATCAGGATGACGGCGTATTATCTGACTGAACAATCCCACAGATTGGCTACGTTCACACTGCAGGAGTTCATGCTAAATTCAGATTTTTTTGTTAAAGACGATTTTTTTGTGAGTTCCTTCACATTTCCAGTTCAATGCGACTTGTATGTGATCTGCTGTGTGAACTTCATACGACCCAAAAGTGTCCCGCATGCGCAGAAGAGGACACGACGACGTCACACGCAGCGAGCGTGCTCAGTGTTTATGGAAGTAAACATGGATGGTAACGGTGGAGTGTATCTGCCACTCCCCCGCCGCCACCGATGGTGGAAACAGAAGTGTGAGCGCTAACTAAACTAGCATCAGCAGCCAAGTACTGCCTGTGTGTTCTGGACACTTCCACCCCGTCAGAGCGCTGCCCCGGGGTGGAAGTGTCCCCCGACCGCCCTGAATATTCTGATATTCATCATTAAGTGCTATTGGGACCAGCCCTACTCGTTATTATAACAACTATGAACAATAAATATTAACAACAAATGAGCCTTCCAGCATCAAGCCCTCCTTGTATCTGGACCTCCGTCTTGACAATCCGACAGCCTTGCTATCCGACATTGAAGAAGATTTTACATTTAGTGTCGGACTATCGAGTCATGACTGTACTTCACCACATCGACGACTGTATGAATGTTACAGTCAATTTATGATAAATTAAAATTGTAATGTCTGGAAAAACTAATAGGAATGTATTTCATTTTACTTCCCTGTGAAGTTTTTTGGGACTTAGAGTTGTTTTACTGAAGGTTTTAAGTAGCTTTTAAAGGAACACGTTGACACTCAAGTGTCTGTTTTTGTCAGCGCTGATGCTCCTTTCTTTTCTTTTTTTTCCCCCCTATGGGGATCACTAAAGAATTATCTCATCTTCTTGCTCCTGACGTTGGTAACTGTTTGTCAGTGTTGTCACATTACCAACAAACCTCAGAGGAGCCTGAGGGGAGCTCAGTCTGTTTCAGCTCCGCTTCCTTCAGCCACACAATAAAACTCACGATTAAAAGTCCAGAACACGTTGAATCAGCTCTGACATTTCTTTTATTATTATAACTGCTGTAACGTGGATTTCCCACAATGCTTGACCTTTAATCCCTGTTCTCCAGTTTGCTAAAGGGTCGGGACAGCGACGGTTTCCCCGTGTACCAAGAGAAGTTTATCAGAGAGTGCATCCGCAAGTTCCCTTACTGTGACGCCACCCTGCTGCAGCAGCTGGTGCGGAGTATCGCTCCTGTGGACATCGTGAGTTTGCAAATCAAACTTTAACATCAGACAATATTCTGTTTGAAACTGGATTCAGTACATTATTTAAGTCGTGTCTAGAGTCTAGTGAGGATTAGGCGCTGTATAGATGATTGGTGGATGGATGGACGTCTTCAAGACACATTTTGCATTATATTTGAATAAGTCTTATGTAAATGTGGTATGCAGCTTTTAATGTGCAATGGTTGACCTGTTTTCTCGTTCTTTTGACCTCCTAACCAAAGGGTAATGACCCCACGGCTCTGTCAGTGATGACTCAGGCCATCACAGGTCAGGTGGGCTTCATGGATGCAGAGTTCTGCACGTCCTGTGGAGAGAAAGGAGCTGAGAAGAGATGCTCCATCTGTAAAATGGTGAGAGTCAAAAGTGCAGCAACTGATAACTTTCACCAAAAAATTCACATCCGTTGTTTTGGATCATCCCGAACTGAGACTCCTCGTTTCACCTCATCTGCTGGTATCTCTGTGTCTCTTTAGCTTTGTAATCACAGTTTAAATAAACTATTTTTTTCCCACTAGGTGATCTACTGTGACCAAGCCTGCCAAAAGATGCACTGGTTCACCCACAAAAAAGTCTGTAAGAAGCTCCAAGAGCAGAGAGAGAAGCAAGAAGTTGAAACGGCCAAACTGCGGATGCAGCAGAGCAAAGGTATTTCATCCGAGAGCCAAAGTATTAAACCGGTAGAACATCAGTAGGTTACAATCCAAAGAGGTGAATGCTTTCTATTAACAGTGGCGTGGTCGGGTATAATCAGTAAAACATTTTCCTCACATCAGCTGCTTTCTAACTGAAAGGCCACTGATGGATGCTTACATCTTTCAAGTTATAATTTTTGAATTTTGAATGTCTGTCTCGAGTGAAAATTTGAGCTTTTTGCACCTTTTCGAGCTCGTGCATGAACTGACAGCTCTTTTGTATTAGTAACACATACATGCAGCTCAATATGTATCGTATGAAATCCAGGAAATTATTAGTATTCCTTTAATGACATATTAAAAGTAGATTTGCACATTTCCTAAACTTTCCTTTGTGTAGTCCGTTACTGTAGGCATTTCCTAAAGGACTCTTTCTTTACTTTAAGCTGCAGTGATGTTGTGCAGCGTAAAAACTAAGGCTTACAAGGAGACTTAAAAAACGGAGGCAAATAGTTTTTTAACGAATATGTAAAATAACAAGCCTTGAAAATCTTTCTGAGTGATGTAATTTAATTTTAAATGTCATTAAAGCTTTATCTTACAAATCGCTTTTATAACCAGGCCAAAGGAAGAATATTAAAAAAAATCAATATTGGTATTTATGGTATTTAATTCAATTCAGATAACTTTATTTATCCCCTAGGGGCAATTTAAAAGCTCACTGAGTATTTGATGGAAAGACATCCAAAAAAATAAAACACTTTAAAACTTTTTATGACCATGAGACTCCTGATTGAGGCCGTATGCGTTAAACTCATCATCTGTGGGCTGCTGCGTTTGTCCAGAATGATAATAATGACGGCGTAGGACTGAAGCTCGATTCTGTTGACCAACGTAAGCGCCAATGTATGGAAAATAATCAGCACGTTCTTGAAGACAATCATAAATCTGCCTTTGAATCCTGACACGAGTGAGAACTTGAGGACACTGTGAACACCTAAAGCCGTTGTGGCACATGACCCAAACTGTGTTGATACTGTGTCGGTACTGTGTTGCTCAATACTGACACATGCTGGATCTTAAGAATCCCTACAGGCAACCTGGTGGACAGGCTCAGCTGACATACTGATTTAATGACCTGGTATATACAATTAAATAATTCAAGTTATTGTATCTTATATTGTATTATTATTTTATTTTTTAAAAATCAAATGTTCCAGTGTCTTGGCATTAAGGTGATTGTTTTTTTTTATGCAAGTTCTCCAGGAATAGGATGAAACAACAAGGAAATAAAAACAAATGCCTTCTTTGCCGATATAAGATCAAAATGGTCCCGTGCGGCGGGAACCTTTCTTTCTCTTTCGGGCTCCATATTAGCTTCAGAAGATCTGTGATTCTTTTGGCAGAGATGCAGCCCGTTGACAGATGCGCTTCCTCATAAACGCAGTTTGGCGAAACAGCAGCTGTATCGGTCATGTGACTTTCTTCAAGCGATACGTGCACCGACACGGGGTTTCTCTCCATGAGCTCGACACATCGTGTTGCCCAACCCATCACTAGAAGTTATATTACCACAAACAAAAGACACAAACCGAGAAGCACCGGGGCGGATTGTTCACTCTAAATCCCAGCCAGCCCTGACTGAGAGGCTGCGGGTTGCTTTTATAGCTAAGTGTGGTGATTGCTGGGGTGGAGGAGGAGTGGTGGTGGTGGTCCAATCAGACGTGACTGGAGGCGGCGAGAACAAGCTCCAGGCTAATTAGTTGAGATGACTGGCAGCTGGTGTCCTGGAGCGAGCCACGGCTGGGCCGACACAGATCATCTCCACATGCAGCGATCACAAATCAAATCAAATCAGGATTACTGTCGTGTTGCTGTACATACACAGTAGTACAGGC